CTTATCCCTAACTGCTCCCATTCTAGGCTTCTGAAAACCTCGTGTAAGCACGCGGTAAATAGCATTGGGGAAATTGTGTCCCCCTGCCTTACACCCTTCTTGATTGGTATTCTGTTGCTTTCTTTATGAAGCACTATGGTAGCAGTTGATCCCCTGTAGATTTCTTCCAGAATGTTTATATATACTTCATCTACGCCCTGATTCCGCAGTGTTTGCATGACGGCTGATATTTCTACTGAATCAAACGCCTTCTCGTAATCTATGAAGGCTATGTATAGTGGTTGGTTATACTCTGAGCATTTCTCTATTACCTGATTGATAGTATGAATGTGGTCAATTGTTGAGTAGCCTGTTTGAAATCCTGCTTGTTCCTTTGGTTGATTGAATTCTAATGTTTTCTTTACTCTGTTAGCAATTACCTTTGTAAATAGCTTGTATACTACAGAGAGCAAGCTGATCGGCCTGTAATTCTTCAAGTCCTTGTCATCTCCTTTCTTATGTATTAAGATGATGTTAGCGTTCTTCCAAGACTCTGGTACTCTTCCCGTCAGGAGACACCTCGTAAACAGGGTGGCTAGTTTTTCTAACACAATCTGTCCTCCATCTTTCAGCAAATCTGATGTTACCTGATCCTCACCAGCAGCTTTGCCCCTTTGCATGCTCTCCAAAGCTTTTCTGATTTCTTCTATCATTACTGGTGGGGTGTAATCAGGGTTACTGCTAGTTCTTATAGTATTAAGGTCGTGGTTGTCTCGGCTACTGTACAGATCTCTGTAAAACTCCTCCGGTATTTTAACTATCTTATCCATATTGGTAGTTATTTTGCCTTCTTTGTCCCTTAGTGCATACATCCGACTTTTGCCTATCCCAAGTTTCCTCTTCAATGCTTTGACACTTCCTCCGTTTTTCAGAGCGTGTTCGATTCTCTTCATGTTATACCTTCTTACATCGCATACCTTACGTCTATTAATCAACTTCGAAAGCTCTGCCAGTTCTATTTTGTTTGTTGTACTTGACACTTTCATGATTTGACGCCTCTTAATTAGGTTCTTCGTTTCTTGGGAAAGCTTGCCAGTGTCCTGTCTAACTACCCGGCCTCCAACTTCCACTGCACACTCCGTAATGATACTCGTCAGATTATCATTCATTGTATCTACGCTAAGGTTGGTTTCCTCACTAAGAGCCGAATACCTGTTCTGCAGCGACACTCTGAATTCCTGTACTTTCCCTCTCAGTGCTAGCTGATTGATTGGCTTCTTGCGTATCAGTTTCTGTCGTTCCTTCTTCAAGTCTAGGCGAATTCGAGACCGTACCATTCTATGGTCACTGCATCGTACCTTGCCAATCACTTCCACATCCTTAACGATTCCAGGGTGTGCACTCATTATAAAGTCTATTTCGTTCTTATTTTCGCCATTAGGGCTCCTCCATGTCCACTTGCGGTTTTCTCGTTTTCGGTAGATGGTATTCAAAATCCGTAAATTATTGCGTTCTGCGAATTCTACTAGTAGCTCTCCTCTGGCGTTTCTAGTACCGATGCCATAATCTCCTACTGCCTGGTCTCCAGCCTGCTTCTTCCCTACCTTTGCATTAAAGTCGCCCATCACCATAGTATACTGTGTTTTTACCTTACTCATTGCCGATTCCACGTCTTCATAGAAGCTTTCAACTGAAGCGTCATCATGGCTGGATGTAGGCGCGTAAGCCTGTACTACCTTCATTTTGTATCTTTTATTCAGTTTAATTACGATACCTGCCACCCTTTCATTAATGCTATATTATTCCTCTATGTTGCCAGCTATGTTTCTGTGAATTAGGAACCCCACTCCCAGTTCTCTTCTGTCTGCCAAGCCCCTGTAGCAAAGGACGTGCCCATTCTGTAGCACCGTATAGGCCTCATCTGTCCTCCTAACCTCACTGAGCCCTATTATATCCCATTTAACACCCTCTAGCTCCTCGAATAGTACAGCTAAACTTCCCTCACTAGATAAGGTTCTAGCGTTAAACGTTGCCAAGTTCAGGTTCCAATGGCGGCCTGTCCGGATCCAGAGATTCTTAGCACCCTCTGCTGCGTTGCAGATCTGACCGCCGCCGTGGTCAGTTGCTTCGCAGCTGCTGGGGACTGAGGGCCGTGAGTTATTTGACGTAAGCATGTGGGAGGTAGTGGCCAGATACTGCACCAGGGTGGCCAATCCTTCTCTGGTGAGGGAGTGCGTCCTCGGCGGTGTCTGCCGGTGAGGCCGCACCCCAGGCCTCCTAATGCAGTTCCATCAACACGCGGATTTTTTTTTTTTTTTTTAAATCCGGTTGGGAACTGCGCGGTACCGGGATTTGCACCACGGACCTCTTGCATGCGAGGCGGATGCTCTAACCACTACGCCATCGCTGCTCTCCAGTTACTGTATTTGTGCTCAAAACTACGGGGAAGTGGTCACTTTTGTACAGATTAGTGACGACTTTCCACTGGAGTAGAGACACAAGGGATGGAGATACTATGCTTAGGTCTATGGAAAAGTAGGTGTTATTGGCGAGATTATAGTAGGTTGGTTCTTTTCGATTTAGGAGACACGCGCTCGACGAGAGAAGGAACTGTTCGATCAGTTGACCTCGCGCGTCATACCGAGAGTCACCCCATAGCCTGCTATGCGCATTAAAGTCTCCAAGGAGAACATAAGGTTCCGGAAGTTCATCAATTAAAGAGTGTAAATCACGTTTTTGCAGCTGATAGCTAGGAGGAATGTAAATAGTGCAGATTGTGATCAGTTTAACAAAAAGAACCGCTCGAACAGCCACTGCCTCAAGGGATGTTTGGAGTTGTAAGTGTGTGCATGCAATTCCTTGATTCACTATGATGGCAACACCTCCGGATGATGTCATGGCATCATCACGGTCCTTTGGAAAAATAACGTATTTACGAAGAAAATTTGTGTGTTTTGAATTAAGGTGTGTTTCTTGTACACACAGCACTTTTGGTGAGTGTTCGTGTAAGAGTTCTTGGGTGTCGTCAAGGTTTCTGAGAAGGCCCCTGACGTTCCATTGTATAATTTGAGTGTTCATGGTGAATGTAAAATAATGCTGTGTGTACGAAAAGCGAGTGGCTGTTTAGACAAGGAGTTTGAGTTCACTTAACAGGGCCGTCACCAGGCCCTATTATTTGCTTTTTTGTTTTCTTGGCGCGCTCCAAGGAGCCACGCCGCTCTTTCGGCACCAAGGGTGCCGACGTATCCATTACCTCCTCGGAGGCACTGGATGCCCGCACGTGGCGGCTGTTAGTTCGGATTTTGGGCCTCGCCTGGTGAGGGGAGGCCTTGAGACCCGAAGACTCTGGAGTCTCCGGTCTCTGTTTGGGAGTAGGCGGTGTAGCCTGGGCTACAGCCGCCTTGGGGGCAGGTGCCACAACTGCCGGCTCGGTATGCGCGGGCCGAAGGGGCGGCGAGGGCTGGTGCGGCGGTGCCCCCTGACGCGCCGCATCAGCGTATGTAGGTCCATAGAATGGAGCGACTCTTCGCTGTGCTTCCTTAAACGTAATGTTCTCCTTCACCTTCAATGTAACTATTTCTTTTTCTTTTTTCCAGTATGTGCAGGAGCGTGAATATGCGGCATGGTTTCCTTCGCAGTTTACACAGTGTGGCGGTTGTTTGCAGTTCTTAGACACGTGGCCTAGGACTCCACATTGTGCACAAGTCTGGAGACCACAACAGGTTTTAGAGCCTTGGCCATACCTCTGGCATTGGAAGCAACGACAAGGGTTTGGTATATACGGCATGATAGATGTTTTTGTGTACCCTGTTTGAATGGACTCTGGTAGTTTACTGGATGCAAATGTGAGTATCAAGTGTTTCGTTGGTATTTCCTTATTATCTCTTCTGATGATAATTCTCTGTACATTATTGACATTTTGGCTCTTCCACCCTTCCAAAAGTTCAGTTTCGGTGAGTTCAAGTAAGTCTGCATCAGATACCACTCCGCGAGTGATGTTCGTGGATCTGTGTGGTGTTACGGTGATCGGTACGTCACCAAACGTTGAGAGGCTGTCTAGCTTTACAAATTGTGCTTTGTCCCGAATTTCGAGAAGAAGGTCTCCGCTAGCCATTTTGGTTACTTTGTATCCAGCCCCGAGAGTTTCAGTAAGACACCTGGCAACTACGAAAGGAGATATGGTCCTGGCTTGCTTTCCGGTTTTTCCCACAGTGAATGACGTGGAAGTGGGGAAAAGTTTCTATTGGCTGGTTGAAGAAATTTATGTCGTCGGTGCGTACCCGCTTTAGGCCGGTACGATCAGACAGTTGAGGGAATGCTCCATGCATGCCGGTCTTATTTTTGTTCAGCAGCGTTGGCGGCCACCCACCACGGAGCCCAACAAGGGGACGCTGCAAGTTTGCAGGTGCTGAAAGCTTGCAGACGTCAGCCGTACAACACTGCCATAACCCAATGCGCCTAGACCAAGGTAGGCTATTTGCACAGGGTTAACCCTTGCCGCCAGGGAAATTGGAAGTGAACAGAAGCAAGAAGTAGACAGGAAAGCTAAAAAAAGTAAGAAAGACGAAGATGTAGGGAGAGAGAGATAGGAAAAGGCGACTGCCGATTTCCCCTGGGTGGGTCAGCCCAGGGGTGCCGTCTACGTGAAGCCAGGGCCAAAGAGGTGTGTTGCCTCTGCCGGGGGGCCTTAAAGGTCCAATCTCCCAGCGTCAGCTCAACCCCCAGGATCCCCTTTTCCCCGGACACGGCAAAGCCACGCACGGCTAGGCGTGGGAGGGAGTCAAAACTCCTCCGTTAGCTCGGGTGTTTTTTGTTGTTTTTTTTTTTTCTTTAGTATCCCTTTCAGAAGAAGAGAGATTTGCTGGGTTGTCTTGTCATACATGAGCCTAGTATAATATGACAGCCTAACATTTACAGTTGAGTATATGCAAAACTATCTTCCATTTGTACATTAAAACGGCATGGCTTGCAAAACAGCAATGACAGTTTGAAGGAGCAGAAATAGGGAATGTAAAAGTTACCTGGTTGAGAAGTTCCTTGAAGATGTCGCACGCCATGAGCTGTAGGTGACCGTGGCGCGTGCCCAGCTCCAGCACTTCCTTTGCGACACTACCTGCTGCTTCAACTGCTTTCCCCGAACGAACGAGGGCAGCAAGTGTGAGTCCCCGTGCCAGAATAACATGGTTCTTGTCCTAGAAAAATCGCGTGCATGAACACTTGCCCATTATGTTTAGGCGTTGAAAACAAAGTACATTGTCCTAAGCACTCACGATGACCATACTTCAAACACATTTTGTCTTTGGAAATCGGATCGAGTTTTTGTGAAAATGCGAACATCTACAATACAATGAAGATAAATACACGAACATACATCTGCATTTAAGGATGGCCTAAAGAGGACAAACCAGCCTCTAGTGTGCCGCATCAAATTATGAACCTTGTACTGCTCCTCCCAATCAGCTTTTTCGTCCAGTGTTTTTGACATTGTGACAGCATATACAACTATCAAGTGTTTTGAGTGTTTATGAGCTTTGTTATGCTCGTAGCCACATATTAAAGAGATGGGGGCCCTCCTTATTTCTCATCTTAAAAAGAGGTAAAGTCAAAACCTGCAGCTTTAGCATTGCATGTTATGTTGTAATTATTTCTGCACAAGTGGTAATCAAGCATTACATTGCTGCACAAAAACAATAACTGGTGGCAAGCGTTTGTAGAGACACACATCTCTGAATAATTAAGAAGTCGTACCTCCTTCGTGTCTTCAGGCAGGTATTTAAGGATGCAAGCTTGAACTTCCTCCGCAGTGGCACCGGGGAAAGCTCTGAGAACCTAGGCATTACAAAAAGATGAACAGATAATTGGAAACACATTGAATACAAAAACAATGGGTGCTTTATTTTCGGTTTTTATTACTTAAGAAGCACTGCCTAACACCAACGTTAGCCTAGCACGAAGCCAGATGTGCCGTGAGAGTAACATATTTATTTATTTACCTCAAAGTCAATAAACATTACAGAGGGGAGTGGGTTGGGAGAACAGTAAAACTACAACACAAAGCAAGAAAGAAAAAAAAAGAGAACAATAGTTATATAGTTAGCATGTTTCTGGTCATACAATGTTAGCTATTGCGTTCTTGAAAACATTGAAATCTCGAATGGTTGCTGTCGGGTTTGGAAGGCCATTCCATTCGTTTGATGTACATGGCATGAAGTATTGCGAAAAGAAGTTAGTTCTACACAAAGGCATGCCGACTTTGAAGGCGTGATCCAGAGGTTGTGAAATGTGATGAGGACCAAGTATGAATTCGTGATGCAAGTAGGCATGGTGGTAGAGCTTGTTTAAAAGACATAAGCGGGAAAGTTTACGCCGTGATGCAAGAGATGGTAGACTAAGGCCTGCTTTCATGGATGATATGCTTGCGGTGCGATTGTAGCTACATGTAATGAAACGAGCCGAGTTGTTCTGAATCATTTCTAAGTGACTGTATTAAATCGACATGAAAGGGATCCCATATTGCTGCTGCGTATTCTAGTTTTGTGCGAATTAATGTTTTGTATAGGAGTAATTTTAGTGTGGAGGGTACTTTTGAAAAGTTATGTCGTAGGTACCCAAGCATGCAGTTGGCGTTGTTAATTACATAGGTGATATGAACGTTCCAGGTTAGGTGATGAGTACTCCAAGGTATTTGTAAGAAGGTACATTTTCTAACGGGCTATTACCTAGGTAGTACACAGGCGGTGTAGTAGGAGTCCTAGTTACGCGCATGTCGTCGATAGTTGACAGGGTGAGCTGAAAACCGGAACTTCATGTTGCGCTGTCACTTGTAAAGGAAACGTCGTATATCTTACCTCCACGAGTGTCACAGCAAATCCAACGCGGGCACATTTGCGAGTCGACGGAAGGCCCTTGATGAGTCGCTCGATCGTGTACTGCAGTTTATCGGAAGAGTCGGACTGAAAGGAAGATAAAGCGCAGATGTTTACGAGCGCCCGTCAGGCTGGTCAAATTGAAAGCATCGAGTTTCCACAAGAGCGATGTTATGATATAGAAACCATGGTGAGAGCGCAACTAAACAGGACACACGAGAAGGAACGGGCACACACTACCAACTCAAAACCCCAACTCGCCCGACGGTCAACTCTTTAAAAGCGATCTTATGGCCGCCAGCAGTAATGTTTACATCTTGAGCGCCGAATAAAGATGCCTTTTTTCTCTAGTCACTAAACCAAATAGTCGGATCCGTAACACTTCTTTAATATAAGTGGTATACCTCTTCCGATGACTTCACTAACTCCTTGATGACTGTTTCAGCCCCGCTAACACGACATTCTAACGTTGTATCGGCTAGCCTGTAGAAAGCGTCGAGGAAGCGGCTTTTTTTATGCTTCCCAGTGCTGTCCCCGACAGCTTCAGAGTCATTTCCGTTCATTTTGCGGTCGTTTTGCACACACCGCAACAAAAACACGTGCAGCTAGCTGCCTGTCTGCTAGCGTCGTCGTGTGTTTGTCTAGAAGGCTCTGCAGTCGCTGCACATGCGTCACTGCGAGACTATTTGTGAACTCACGGAGGAAGGAAAAGCTTCCTCCGTGTGTGAACTGAACAAATTTTTCACGTCTTTCTTTCCATGACCCAACAGTTTCTCACAGTTTGCTGAATGTTTATAAGCAAAAAAGTAATTTTAAGATTAACTGCTACTTTTGAGTTGCTCAGATGATGGTATCAATAGCGCGCGAATTTCGAACGCCTCCAGCAGCGGTTAACTTTTCGGTTAACTTTTCGGTTTTTTTTTTTTAAATTGGATTTATTCCCTTCGACTACCCGATTTCATTCCCGTTTTTGTGGCTGAGTTTCTGGCAGTAGTACTCGCCTTACGCAAGTTAGATACAGCAATTACACCAGCTGTCACAATAACAGATTCCCTATCTCTGTGCAGCACTTTCTGTTGGTGCTGATAATCACGTAACAAGGGCGTTCCGTGCTCTAGTACCTGTGCATTTGAGAAAAGTGCGATTAGTTTGGGTGCCTGGACATAAAGGTTTGTTTCTAAATGAAATAGCCGATTCCTTAGCTAAGTCGTCAATCAGCGAACCAATTCTACCACTCTGTCCATCATCCGCTTATGTGACTGCTGCTCGATTCCGCAGACGTACGCTTATGCAAGTCTTTAAAGGTTCAGCACTAACAAACTCTACAGAATATCGCCATTTATTATATCCCTGGCGAAGAGACTTTTGCCGCACTCGAAAACAAGAAGTAGCTATCACAAGGCTGCGTTGCCGGGTACCAAATCTAAATTTCTATAAACACAGGTCTGTTCAGGCACCTTCGCCACTGTGCGCATTCTGTGATGAACTGTAAACAATAGAACATTTCTTTTTGACCTGCAGGCGGTTTAACACAATACGAAAAACCCTATTAGAAATACCTTTGCGTGGCATTGGTATGGACTTATCCCTGCCTGTCATTTTGTCTTTTGGAGCTTCCATTTCTGGTTTCTGTAATGGCACAGTATGCGCGGCCGTCCGGGACTATATTGATGAAACTAATAGGTTGACTAATTAACCAGCTTCATTATCTTAACATGTCCACATAATTATATACTTATAAAATCAGATTATTGCTCTATTCTAAGAATAAATTTGTTTATCTAAATATTTATATGCATTACATTAAGCACCACACTTGCCTATACGCTATCGGTAATCTTTCTGTTATACCTCCATCATTCTAAATCTGAACAGTAAATTTTAAAGCCACTCGATTCTTGGCCAATCCCCCACAGTGGGTATGCGCCACTAACAATAGGAGAACAACAACAACAACAACAACTTTTCGGTTCCTCAGCACACTCCATTTGAAGATTCGGGCACGAATATAGATGGACTGACTCGCCAGCCATGCGGCGTACCAAATACCTCTGTACAACCCGTACAGGTGAACATGGCGGTGAATATCTCTCAACTACGAAGGGTATCAAAAAGGCCGCCTCTATATTACCAGCGCATTACCCCATTACCTAGCCGCGCGGTGCATTGTGGGTGGCTCTATCCGCTCGCCTTTGTAATCTCGCAGCCCGCCGCGGTGGTCTTGAAGTACTCGGTCGCGGGATCCAATCCCGGCTGCGGCGGCTGCATTTTCAATGGAGGCGAAAATCCTGTAGTCCCATACGTGTGCTCAGATTTGGGTACATGTTAAAGAACCACAGGTGGTCGAAATTTACGGAGTCCTCCACTACGGCGTCTCTCATAATCATATGGTGGATTCGGGACGTTAAACCCCGCATATCGATTAATTATCCCATTAGCTAAACGAACTACAGGTGTAACTTGCCATCATACGCAGAGGCGTAATAACTCATTTGCAAGAGGAGGAGGGGGTACATATTTATATCAAGAGAGAGAGACAACTTCCTCGACGCGTTCGCACTTTCATGTCATTTTTCATACACACAGCACTAATGCAATAGCGTAAGAAAAGGGCAGTCAGTTTTAAGCATGATGTCCTGGGACCTGGAACAACACGTATATGTTTGTCATATATCATGCATGTAATAAGATTGCACGCGACGATTTTTGGGCTTTACCTCACAACTTTCAGCATGAATACAATAATGTTGATGGCGGCCTCCTCAATAGTAAATATTTTATCATTTAATAAATAATAAAACATAAATTATTTAAACATAAACATATTTAAATTAATAAAACAGCTCACAAATAATTCAGTTCTTAAATGTAAAGCACTCCTTGAGGAACCAAAGGTATTTTGAACACTGCTATGTACTTATTTTAGCTTCCCACTAAACTCAAGTCCACTGCTTTATTCGTCGCCGCTTTGCAAGCTGCCTCCATCGCTCCAAGTTGCCATAAGCAAGTCTGATCAGATTTATCGGAGATTAAAGTGGAAACTTTTTTGGCACTTCCAGTACGGCAAAACTAAAATATTTAGAAATATTAGTCGCACTCATGTGCTCACAGCAGCTTCGACAGAGCAGCGGTGATGGTAATCCTTTTCGACGAAAAAAAATTATTTTGCTGAAGCAGCAAACGCTTTGAGCGGTCCACAAATTGAGTTTGTTCGTTCCCATCTATAACTGCATCGGCCAGTTGCAGTATAAGAAAAACATGAACAAGTGATGTAATTAATATGGCACCTGTTCAGCGCTAGCCTGCTCTGCAGTGCTTCTGCACAGGATGGAAAGCGTCGCAAAAAGCCTTCAACGAAAATCGCCACTGCTTGAATGTTGAAAAATGATCACGACAATGTACTTTTGCCTCGTAATGATTTCTTTTTCTCGTAACATTATAATTGAGTGATTACAGTGCTGAAAGAAAACTGTGCCTTAATTTTTTTTTCCTAGCGTGCAGCCGACTGTGACCACTGTCGAAAGTGGGGGGCTCAGCCCCCCTCCCCCAACTTTTCTCGGTAGGGGGAAGGTTGCGCTCCCCTTAACCTTCCCCCTCCCCCCGGCTGATACGCCTATGATCCATACGCCAGGATGCAGCCCTCAATCCAGACAGGGATCAGACTTTACAAGCCCTTACAAGAAAAGTGGCACAACACGTACGGGACAAAGACGAAGAGGAGGGAAGGAGGTAGCATGAGCGCCCTCTTTTCCCCATATGCTGCGCCACTTTCCTGTATTGTAACGATGTACCAACTAGCCCAGCAGCACGTTTTATTAGTTTACAGCCCGTTCTCCACAGATCGCCGGTAAGTAGCCTATAGTATTTCAGCTCTCAGCACTAGGTATAATACTGTGGCGACCACTGCGCACAGTCCTGCGCAGCCTCCGTCTCGCCCCTGATTAGCCCGGCGTGACATGGCACTGGAACACGCTTCTGATAAAAGATAGTGCCACCGCAGTTTCGCCGGTACTTACGTCGTCACTGCCGGCTATGAAACCCGAGCTGCCAAGCTCAGTGCTCGTTCATCTAACTTTCGAACACAGCGTCAGCATGCTTGCACCGATGCTGCTACCCAGTTAATAAACGGTGTTGCGTTTTATGTTGGGGATGCGTCTTTCTCTCGACATGGCATCCCACAAGCTTTGTGAACGAGTATATATACACCGCAGTTACCTCGATCATACATCTTTAGTTCCTTATGCAGTACGCAGGCGTGCGCACGAGGGGGCAGGGGGCGCTCCTCCCTCTAAGAGTCACCTAGAGGGGGGGGGGGGGGGCGCAAAGCATATGCCCCATGTATGCACTTACCTATAAAGAGGGGGCGCCAAGTTTGCCTCACACATGCGCGGTGACGAACCTTCGCCCGCCGCGCGGTGGTCTATCGGCTGCTCATGACCCGCAGGTCGCAGGATCAAATCCCGGCTGCGGCGGCTGCATGTTCGATGGAGGCGAAAATGCTGTAGGCCCGTGAACTCAGATTGCCTTTAGAGGTGCCGAATACATGCATTCAGGGGGCCATTGACAAAATGCAGTCTTTTGTGTCATCAAGAGGGCTAGAATGCCTGCCCCAGACAAGTCTCGATTCGTATGGTTGTGCCACCTCCCCGGCGCAGGCGCAAGCCTTCCTTGCATTCCCGGTTTCGAGTGGTCATTCTTCCCATCCCTACCCGGCGGTACCCTATACAGCTAAATAATTACGAACAGGCTGCTATAACTCGAAACAGATATATGCATGCACCTTCCCATTCATCCCGCTCGAACGTTCATTGAAGAAGATAGCTAGTATAAACCGGGCACTCGTAAGTTGCCTGCCTTAGGAGAACCCGATACTTCACAGGAAATCGTTCATGTGCAGTGATATAGCCCATCAAAGGATCAAAACTCATTAGTAGCTCCACGGGAAGGGATCGAACCGCCTATAAACAATTTGCCTCCAGTGATAGTGCAAGACTGCCTTAATACTCCATATGGAAATGACATCGTAGTCAGCGCTCTCCCGAAATATGCACCGCAACTCACGATCAAGGCGGGCGTGCTCTTCGAGCTAAGTATACTTATCAAGAATATGAAATCACCAGCCAGATAGTAGGACCACGTCGGGACGTCTTCACAGCTGCCGTCTGCATTAACGGCTAGAAATAGTGACGGCCCAATCAAAGTCGCAGAAGTCACTACATGGCAGAAGAAGAAGCCGCCATTGCATTTGGCATCTCCACCACTTTCAAAGCCCACACTGCCACGGACTCTCAGGAGGCCCATCGGAACTACACATGCGTGACCTGACATGCAAACAGGCCCTCCATATCATGACTAAATGTATACAGCATGCCAGGTACATTAATACATGAAGATGGGTGGAGAGAGAAAGATTAAATTTTATCTGTACAAGGAATTCGGGCGCGTACGTCCCAGGGTCCCCGCACGACGCCACTGCCCGATACGTTCGCGAGTTCATGTAGTTCCACGACGTGTACGGTCCCGTTCAGCGGCGATCCTCCACTTGGCCTGCGTCCGCCAAGCGCAGCGGGGCCTCCTATTCTTCCTAAGTGGCTGTCACGGTGAAAGAAGTGTTTTTCCAGCCACGTTTCCAGT